GGGGGGGGGGATGCGGGCGGCGGGGATTTTCAGGAGCTTCCTAACGTGCCATTGGCCAACTGGAGCGAGACACACACATCCCCTCCGCCGAGTTAAAAGGGATGGAGTGGATGAAATTTCAAAGCCTCCCCTGCAGACACACGCTCTGCTTTGCACACATCAGCACTGAGATGTTCAAATATTCGACTCTGTCGTTCCAGCCTGGTTCCCTCTCCCGTACGCTAGTATCAGCCATGGTTCTGCTGTGATTAATGAGAAAGCCAAACTCAAAGAAAATGGCTCCACATGCATGTGTGTGCGCGCACGGGAAAATTCTTTCAAGACATCCAAAAGTCAAAAGCCTTTTTTCTTTCCATAATGCTAAAAACTGTCCCTAATTAAAAACGGCGTCTCTGAGTCATATATTTCCCATGATTACTTGCTGCGGGCGGTACGAGAAAGTGAAAGTCACCGAGATAAGAAGGGAAGTGGAAGACATTCACCTATTAAACTCATTCACTTATTATGGCCAACAATGCTTTTCCTATTAGCCAGCACACTGACAATGTTATAAGACATTCCTGAAATGTACCGCAAAGAGTAACTGTGTTGCCCTTGTACAGACAATACAGAGCCCTCAGAGCTGGAGCGCGTTCGCTTCCCCCTCCTCCGCTTTTATTTCCCTGACTCGACGGCTTTGATTTGACCAGCCGTCTCCTTTTCTTTACGAGCATCTCTCGTGCCGAACATCTGTACGGCCACCGTCGCACCGGTCGGTGCTATAAAACTAATTAGATTCTTACACACTAAATCAAGTCACAACTCCAAGAGCTCCTCTTTTTTTGTTGTTGTTGTTTTTCTTTGTTTTGTTTTTTTTCCCCGTCTTTTTATGATGGCAACATCTTTGTTGCTAAGCAGTAGTTGCTGTGGTGATTTTGCACTGCAGTTCCCAGAGATCACAAGTCACTCAAAGAGTGCGGCCGGTACGGTGACGTCTTCCGTGTACGGTGAATTAGATGACGTAACTTGAAACCTTCGCACCTAGTTATTCTATTTTTTCTTACTTGTGTACACTTGAACAGGGAATAATATCACTCCATGCCTCCCTCGCTTTGGTTTCCCCCTATCATATGACAGCTGGTGACCAAAGTGGTAACATCCTTGCTCTTGAGGCTCAGTTATAATTCAATATTCAAACCACAGACGGTCTAATAAGCTTCAGTATTATTGGTGGAATGAGATTGCCGCACACTTTCTTTTTTAAAGTCAAATTTAAAACCTTTTAAAAGCCTAAACAAAGAGAAGTGAAAAGCATTTCCACACAGCAACATTACCAAATCAACAAATGCTTTATCTTTTTGAATGTATCTAAAAGTTCAGAGTCAGAAAACATCTTAAAAATACAGATTGTGTGCAAAAAAACAAAAAAAACAACAACCCACGGAGCAGTTTAGCAGTCGCTTGAAAGAATTACTGAAAGATTCAGTTTAACAGAACTCATCAATACGTCCAATTTTACCAGTCAGCGTACCAGCAGGAGATGACGGTGTACTAGCAGCAAGCATGAAAGAATCCATTGGCACCTTATCTTTTTTTAATACAAGCATAGTGTGCTCTTCTGGTTTCATACGGGACTTGATTGTTCAGGAACTCATTGTCCCAAGTTTCAAACTTTTTTTTTTTGCCTCAAAATTTCTCCTTCGACTTTCAGGATATTCTTGGTATTTTTCATCTCGGAGCCAAATATCTCCAAACTTGTATTTGAAAGCTTATTTTTCTTCCTTTCATGGTTTGTGTGATACCTTCAGTGAATGTGAGATGAAGCTTTTGAGCACATAATTTTAAAAAAGGCATCAATATAAGTAGGGCTGCCACAAACGATTATTTTGATAGTCCACTAGTCACAGATTATTTTTTGCGATTAGTCGACTAATCAGATCATCATGCACTGGACGTAAAACGTACAGCTTATTGCACCAGCAGCATCTGCTCTTATATAACTATTATTAGCTTACAGCTTTAAGTGTTTAAGGTCTGTGCTAACTAAATATAAAGACAAGATGATAGTTTATTAAATTTTAATGAAATTTGCAGATTGTTTCGGTGAAGTTTAATAAACTCCTTGCTATCTAAAATATAACAGGACAACGGAGTATATTCTCCAGCATCTCACACTTCTGATAATCAGCTGTCTGCTTGACGTTTATTCAGCTGTGTAAAAACTATAACTTTAATCTCAGCCAAACCGATTTACTCAGGAACAAATAAAATACTGAAAAAAGCCAAACAATAACATTTTAAGTTATCTAAGTGACTTATGTATCATGTTTAACCTGAGTAGCGACAGACGGCGGTGGGTTTGAAACGATTTGCCGGGAGTCCGGTGTTCTCACGGTGCTAGTTAGCCTAGCCCCCAGCTAGCTATCGAGCTAGTGGGTAACAGACGTCTCCGAAAAAGCCCTTGTGAAAATATGCGGTGTCTTGATAAACTGAGCAGATATTTGAGGTTTACACAGCTACATTCTCGCCTGAAAATATGTTAAACGTTTATTTTGTGACCCAGAAAGAATAATAAGAGTAATATTAAAACTAACTAGCTGCCGC